TTGATTACCCTCTTTGGAACTTCGAAGTTATTATTAAAAAAAAAAGAAATGAAAAATAAATGAAAAGAAAGAAAAAAAAGGAAATCAGAAACAAAAGTTTCTGAACTACGTTCGACTTGATTTCGAAAGGATACATAGGCAGCCTCTCTCTAGGGTTCAGTCACACCAAAACAAAAATCTAAATTCCCCAAAAAGTGAAACTGGGGCAGATGTTATAATGGTTCGGCAATGGTCTCGCCTGAAAGGTTCCAAAGTTGTAATTCAATCCAAATGCTTTTTACCGCAAAATCTTGTTCAAGTCCTTCCGATAAATCGGCAAAAAGATTCAAAATGGGAGGATACAGTTACTTGGATCTGATGCAATGAAATTAGAGAAATAAAATCTGAGAGTCTTATAAGGCGACGGTGAGAAAAGAAATGAGAGAGGTCAGCTGATGAAACCCCGCAAAGATCATTATAAGGCGACGGTGAGAAGAGAAATGAGAGAGGTCAGCCGATGAAAACCCGCAAAGGGCGCCACTGATCGAAAAGAGGATCCTTACAGTCACTGGCACCGACACAATCCTGGGCATGGTCTCTCGGTTTCAAGGCAAAATTTGTGATGAATTTCTGAGAGTCAGACGATTTACACAAATCAGGCATCCAGTCCAAAAGGCATGTCATGTTCATTGAAGTCCGTATGTACCAGATAAGTCCTTCTGTCCTTTCCCCGAAAGGGATACCTTTTGTCTAAATTTATTATCCATTTCATTGTTCATTTTTCTTTGAATCCCTTTCGGTCTAACTCTATTACAAAACTAAGGCAAAGAAGTGATGACAAGACTTGATTTACAGGGTTCTCATTTGATACAAGGAAATATGCAAAAAGTCACCCAGCCTCGGCAGGGGCATCAAGTCGACTCTAACTGGCCATGATGGTCGAAGCCTCGAAGTCAAACACTCTTGAAATAAGAAAAGCAAAGTCAAATTCCCACAAAGGCAAAATAAAGTTGAAAAGGTCAAGTCTCACGTGGCTAACCGTCTTGGCAAAGTTTGAAAAGCCAAAGGTTCCCCAACGCTCTGAAGTTAAATTTAGAGGAAAGAAGTGAAAAGCCTATAAAGGCAAAATGAAGCTGAAAAAGGTTAAGTCCCACGCGACCAACCGTCATGGTAAAGTTTTGGAAAATCCAAAGGTTTTTCCGGGGCCGGAAATGAAATAAGTGTTCAGGGAACAACCAGTTACAGTTGAAAGTACCATCAAAGAAGAGGGTCGAGATCAAGAGACTGAAGTACTCAAGGCCTCAAAACCAACCACCGTTTCAAACTGACAAATCGTTCTTTGTTTGAACCACAGGAAATAGGTGTAATCCAAAGCAACCTTGCAAGAAGTAGGTGCAACCAAAAGAAAATCACGCGGAGACTGAAATAGCTCTACAGCAACAACCACTAAAAAAAAAGGAAAGTCTTCTCCAAATTCTTTCCCGTATTATACTCATTCTCTAAAAAACAAAAGAGAGAAAGAAAAGAAAGAAAGTTACAAATCATGGTAGTTTAGGGTCTCCAATCCCTAGCTGCGTTTTCCAACATAGGGTCTCCACTCCCTAGTTGATTTTTATTTTTAGACATAGGGTCTCCACTCCCTAGTCTGCTTTTCCAACATAGGGTCTCCACTCCCTAGTCGATGATTTTATTTTAGACAAAGGGTCTCCACTCCCTAGTCTTTTTCCAACATAGGTTCTCCACTCCCTAGTTGATTTTATTTTAGACATAGGGTCTCCACTCCCTAGTCGCTTTTCCAACATAGGGTCTCTACTCCCTAGTTGATGATTGTTGGATATAGGGTCTCCACTCCCTAGTCTCTTTTCCAACATAGGGTCTCCACACCCTAGTTGATGAATTTTAGACATAGGGTCTCCACTCCCTAGTCGCTTTTCCAACACAGGGTCTCCACTCCCTAGTCGCTTTTCCAACACAGGGTCTCCACTCCCTAGTTGATGATTTTAGACATAGGGTCTCCACTCCCTAGTCGCTTTCCCAACATAGGGTCTCCATTCCCTAGTTGATGATTTTTGGACATAAGGTCTCCACTCCCTAATCTCTTTTCCAACATAGGGGCTCCACACACTAGTTGATGATGTTTAGACTTAGAGTCTTCACTCCCTAGTCGCTTTTCCAACACAGGGTCTTCACACCCTAGTTGATGATTTTAGACATAGGGTCTCCACTCTCTAGTCGCTTTTCCAACATAGGGTCTCCACTCCCTAGTTGATGATTTTTAGACATAGGGTCTCCATTCCCTAGTCTCTTTTCCAACATTGGGTCTCAACTCCCTAGTTGATGTTTATCTTAGACGTAGGGTCTCCACTCCCTAGTCACTTTTCCAACATAGGGTCTCTACTCCCTAGTTTATTTTATTTTAGACATAGGGTCTCCACACCCCAGTCGCTTTTCCACTATAGGGTCTCCACTCCCTAGTTGATATTTTTAGACATAGGGTCTCCACTCCCTAGTCGATTTTTCAACGTAGGGTCTCCACTCCCTAGTTGATGATTTTAAGACATAAGGTCTCCATTCCCTAGTCTCTTTTCCAACATTGGGTCTCCACTCCCTAGTTGATATTTATCTTAGATATAGGGTCTCCACTCTATAGTCGCTTTTCCAACATAGGGTCTCTACTCCCTAGTTGATTTTATTTTTGACATAGGGTCTCCACTCCCCAGTCGCTTTTCCACTATAGGGTATCCACTCCCTAGTTGATGTTTTTAGACATAGGGTCTCCACTTCCTAGTCTCTTTTCCAACATAGGGTCTCCACTCCCTAGTTGATGTTTATCTTAGACATAGGATCTCCATTCCCTAATCGCTTTTCCAACATAGAGTCTCTACTCCCTAGTTGATTTTATTTTAGACATAGGGTCTCCACTCCCCAGTCGCTTTTTCACTATAGGGTCTCCACTCCCTAGTTGATGTTTTTAGACATAGGGTCTCCACTCCCTAGTCGCTTTTTCAACATAGGGTTTTCACTCCCTAGTTGATGATTGTTAGACATAGAGTCTCCATTCCCTAGTCTCTTTTCCAACATTGGGTCTCCACTCCCTAGTTGATGTTTATCTTAGACATAGGGTCTCCACTCCCTAATCGCTTTTTCAACATAGGGTCTCTGCTCCCTAGTTGATTTTATTTTTGACATAGGGTCTCCACTCCCCAGTCAATTTTCCACTATAGGGTATCCACTCCCTAGTTGATGTTTTTAGACATAGGGTCTCCACTCCCTAGTCGCTTTTCCAACCTAGGGTCTCCACTCCCTAGTTGATGATTTTTAGACATAGGGCCTCCATTCCTTAGTCTCTTTTCCAACATTGGGTCTCCACTCCCTAGTTGATGTTTATCTTAGACATAGGGTCTCCACTCCCTAGTCGATTTTCCAACATAGGGTCTCTACTCCCTAGTTGATTTTATGTTAGACATAGGGTCTCCACTCCCCGGTCGCTTTTCCACTATAGGGTCTCCACTCCCTAGTTAATGTTTTTAGACATAGGGTCTCCACTCCCTAGTCGCTTTTTCAACATAGGGTCTCCACTCCCTAGTTGATGATTTTTAGACATAGGGTCTCCATTCCCTAGTCTCTTTTCCAACATTGGGTCTCCACACCCTAGTTGATGTTTATCTTAGACATAGGATCTCCACTCCCTAGTCGCTTTTCCAACATAGGGTCTCTACTTCCTAGTTGATTTTGTTTTAGACATAGGGTATCCACTCCCTAGTCGCTTTTCCAACATAGGGTCTCTACTTCCTAGTTGATTTTGTTTTAGACATAGGGTTTTCACTCCCTAGTCGTTTTTCCAACATAGGGTATCCACTCCCTAGTTGATATGTTTAGACATAGGGTCTCCACTCCCTAGTCTCTTTTCCAACATAGGGTCTTCACTCCTTAGTCGCTTTTCCAACATAGGGTCTTCACTCCCTAATTGATGATTTTTAGACATAGGGTCTCCACTCCTTAGTCGCTTTTCTAATATAGGGTCTCCACTCCCTAGTTGATGTTTTTAGACATAGGGTATCCACTCCCTAGTCGCTTTTCCAACATATGGTCTCCACTCCCTAGTTGATATTTTTAGACATAGGGTTTTCTTTCCCTAGTCGTTTTTCCAACATAAAGTCTCCACTCCCATTACTAAAAAATCTTGTTTTAGCGACGGACAAGTTCTGTAGCTAAACAGAAAAATCTATCGCTAATATCATTTAGCGACAGATTAGTGACAGATTATCAAGAAATTATGCTAGCTACGGACGATTTAGCGACAGATTAACGACGACGTTTGTTTAATATTTTCATGTATATTTAATATTTTAATATTTTCATGTATATTTAATATTTAATATTTTCATGTATATTTAATATGTAATATTTTAATATTTTCATGTATATTTAATATTTAATCAAGTGCCATCGCCATCTCACTTAAATTGTTTGTTTGTATTTAGTTGCATTTTCATGTATATTAAATATTTTAACTTTATATAAAAACCATAAAAAATGTTACATTTTAATTTAATGCTATCTTAAGTTTAATTTGTATTTTCGGAATTAATTACTCGTTAATTGGTAGAATTAATACATAAAACATCAAACAAAATATTTTAATTTTACATGCATTTGTTAGTATATAAATAGATTTTTTTTTCTCTAATTAGAATTAAGTTGGGGTTTTAATTTCGATTTTTTTTAATTAACTTTGTAGAATTTTAAAATCAAAAGGAAAGAAAACCAAACAAAGGAAAAAGAAAAGTTTCTCTTACTTTTAAATCGGACTGGGCTAGTCTCAAAAGCCCAAATGAACTTTCAAATCCATTCCCCCAGCCCAATCTTCACCAAAAATTCGGTCCAGTCTTTAGGCGCCAAAACAGCGCCGTTTTTGTAACACCCAATCCCAACCATTGATCATTCTTGATCTAACGGCTCGCAACTCACCACCCTTCCCCCTTATAATGGTCGGAAGACCCCCCCCCCAAAGCCTAGAGACCAACCCCATTTTCCCCTTTCTCATCTCTCAACTCGTCTCTCTCATCCCTCGCCGTCCGCCGCCGCCGAAAATCGCCTACGGCGGCGGCGCTACTCCAACCCCTCTCAAATTCACACCCTATACTCCTCTCTCAATCCTCAACACAAACCTACCTCTAATTTCCCCAATACCCCCACCAAACTGCTCCAATTCCAGATCCAAAATTGAACCCTAGCCTCTTGCCCCCTTTTCAAATACTCGACCAATTTCACCTTATTTTCGGTTGAAATTTACATCAATTGAAAGCTCTTGATAAGAGCTTTCCACTGATGTAAGATTCACGTTGTATCTCGGAGATTGCATTTTGGTCAGAGTCGTGTTTGTTCGTCGAGTTTTTATCAGAGTTCTATGTTCGCTTTCTCTTAAAGATTAATAGGTAATTTATTTCCTTCTTTCTCACTCATTCTGATCAATTCTCCTTTTCTCTTAGTTTTTCATTGCATGCCTAGGTTAATAGCTAATCGCCTAAAAATGTTTTAGCTTTCTAAATAATTGTTTGATTCAGTCCTACTTGAATTTTAGTCGATTGATAATAAGGTTTTGGTTGAAATTACATAAGTGCTTAATGATAGGTTAGCTAGTTTGCTGTTTTTGATAGATTAATTTTAATTTAGATTAATAAGTGTTTGTTTAGTAGTCGTTGGTTCTGCTTATTGAAGGAAGATAGTAGAGTTAGGGTAGAAGGCACTAATTGGTAATTAACAAAAGCTAAAGGGGTCAAAGGGGATTTGAAAAATTAGGGAATTTGAGTTGTTTGTTTGGAGAAGTTTCTAGAGGAATGACTAAAGTGCAATTGCATAATTGAATTAGGTCAGATTGGGGTCAAAAGAAATGATTTTCAGAAGCTAAAGGGTAGGAAATAAAAATAACCATCTAGAAACAGGGACAGATGTCCAAATTCAGTTTTAAAAAGATATTTTTTCCTGAAATTTAGGGGTGGCATGCTGAGAATTATTCCCTCATTCTTTGGAGCACATGACAGATTTTATTCCCTACATATAGGACCTCTTATTTTCTCACAAACAAATGTTAATCACTCAGCATTTCTCTCAATTACAGACTGATTTCTATACATAAAAATCTCTCTGCACTCTTTCTTCCTCCCAGAAATGAAAACACTCACAAGGAGACATATATAGCTAGAAAACAACAAAAAGAAGAAAGTTGTTTTTCTCTTCATTTTCAATGTTTTATTCCAGTTCTGTGGGGATTTCAAATTAGCTGTCGGTTCTTTGGTTCTTGTTGATTTCCTACTGTTGCGTCTGTTCTTGTTGTTGCCCTCTTCCAGTTCAGAGATCTATTTTTTTTAATTTTTGTGTTCTGTTGCTACCTTTTGCTGATAGGTATGTTTGAAATAACATATGTATTTTTCTCTGAATGCAGAAATGTTAAAATTAACATGCTGATTTTTGGTTATGCTTGCTTCCATGTGCTTCTGATATTTGTATGTTAAAATCATGTTCTTCTTTGTTTCCTGATGAGTAGCTGATTACATCTATTTGTCAGAGCTGAAAGTTAAGCCATGTTTGCTCACTAGCTAGATTTATTGTTATTGATGTTTCATCCATTTTACTGTAAAGTCACTGATAATCAAACACTCATGTTTAACTTGTGAAATTTCAAATTAGCCATGCCTATTGTCGTTGCTTCTGTTTACTTATATGGATGAAGTTCAAGTATGGAATTCAAGATGAAATTGGATGCATGAAGGGCTACTAAATCAAATGTTTAAGTGTTCTTATTCATGTTTAGATTAGAGCACTTCAGTGTATGTAGGAGTTCAGCAGTGTAAACGTGTTAAAATTCTGATTTTAGTATGAATAATTTGAAACATCTCATGTGCTAAGATTTGTAACTAATTTTCCTATGCTTGTGGTGTATTGAAATGATCATGCATAGGTTTAAACTTGCGATGAATTTGAATCCCAGTTTATTCATACTATTTCTGATATTGAAGTTCATATATATCGTTTGGTTGTATACTTGTTGGTTTTAATTTGATACAATTCGTTACTGATTAAACACAGTCGAATTCAGATCTTGTGGGTTCCAAATGACCCCATTCCTAGGCTGCAATTTGAAAGCCTTGGGTTTTTTCCTTAAAGATGGGCTTTTAAGGTTTGAGGCCCATATTTTAAGTGCAGCTTATGGCATGCACTTTCTTTAGGCATTATTTGATTTGCAAATAAAAGGCCAAAATGTTTGGGCCCAAGGTGAAACCCATTAGCATCCGCACTTGGCCTGTTTGAGACATCACGTATGTCTTTAGTCATTTTTCAATCCATAGCTCATTTATTGACTGAAATAATACCGAACTAATCCATTGGAATAACTAACCATACTCTAATCAATTTCATCCCTAAGGGAAGAATCATGAGACAATCTTCTTTACATATGAGCCTATGTCAACTAATTCCCGTCACTTGTTCACAAATAATTTCCATAATCTTTGTCCTTTTACAATAACCTCAAATTAGTTTAGAATCAATAATTTCAAATATCGGAGTTTTCTTTAGGCGCGTAATTAAATCATCACGGCTATGGGTACGGTTCCCGTGGCATAGTCGTGATACATAATCCCCAATTCGGGCGTACATTTTATATGACGACCATAACTTCAAATAATAATAAAAACAAACATGTTGTAAACCGCGGGTACATTTCATGTGACGCGATTCGCAATGTGCTCAAAAACAACGAGTGTGCGACATCACAACTTGTTCAAACATATTTCATAAATAATTGAAAGCAGTTTAAATGGTTAAAAATGCATAATAGGTTTTAAACATGTAATAAACCAGATAATTAGGCCAATTATTAATAGTTGAGCGACCGTTCTAAAACCACAGGACTCGGAAGTGCCTTACACCTTCTCCTGGGTTAACAGAATTCCTTACCTAATCTTCTAGTTTCGCAGACTTTAAAATAGAGTTAAATTTCCTCGATTTGGGATTTAAAATAAACTGGTGACTTGGGACACCATAAATTATTCCAAATGGCGACTCTGAAATTAAATAAATAATCTTATTTTGAATATTGTCACTTTAATTGAAAAAACTTCCCTATCCCTTGGGAAAAAAGGAGGTGTGACAGCTGCTGGTAATCAGAGACTAAGATCTTTTGGTGCACCAGGTTCTAGGGGAGTGGGCTACAAAGAACACCAAAATATTGCCATATTTGCACTGTCTACAAGAGCTGATCAAGAGGTTCACAAAGATAGAGTTCAAGCATGTTCCAAGAATTAAGAATACATTTGCAGATGCATTAGCCACTTTATATTCCATGATATAACACCCACATAAGAATTTCATCGATTCTATCCCAATAGGAATTCATAAACAACCAGCTTATTATGCTCATGTTGAAGAAGAGATTGAAACCCTTGGTTCCATGAGATAAAGAAGTACTTGGAAAAAGGAGAATACCCAGAGAGCGCTACCCACACTTAGAAGCACACACTTCGAAGATTGGCTAACCATTTCTTTCAAAGCGGAGGAATTTTGTATAGAAGGACTCCTGACTTGGGATTACTGCGATATGTCGATGTCAATGAGGCATCCAGATTGCTCGAGGAAATACATGCCGGAACCTACGGACCCCACATGAATGATTTCATTTTGGCCAAGAAGATACTAAGAGCAGGGTATTTATGGATGACTATGGAAACAGACTGTATCAAGTACGTTCAACAAGCGCACCCTGGCCTTTCTCAGCTTGGGGTATGGATGTCATCGGACCAATCGAACCCGCTGCTTTAAACAGACATAGGTTCATTCTGGTAGCCATTGACTACTTCACAAAATGGGTTGAAGCCGCATCTTACAAAGTTGTAACTAAGAAGGTTGCAGCAGATTTTGTTCGGGACCGCATTGTTTGTCGATTTGGGGTACCAGAGTCAATCATTACTGACAATGACGCCAATCTCAACAGTGATTTGATGAAAGCCACGTGTGAGACATTCAAGATCAAACACCGAAACTCTACAGCATACAGGCCGCAAATGAACAATGTCGTAGAAGTCGCCAACAAGAACATCAAGAAGATATTGAGGAAAATGGTAGATAATTACAAATCATGGCATGAGAAGCTACCGTTTGCTTTACTCGAGGTATCGTACCACAGTTCGTACATCAACTGGGGTAACTCCTTACCTACTGTTTTATGGTACTGAAGCCGTTATTCCCGCCAAAGTGGAAAAAGGTCAGGTCGAGGCAATTCACGCTGGGGCAGTTGGTACTAAAGCGAATCTTCCCACATCAAGACGAAGCAAAGGGGAAATTCTCACCCAACTGGAAGGGCCCTTACATGGTTCACTGGGTATTGACAGGAGGAGCACTTATACTTGCAGAGATGGATGGAGAGATTTGGCCAAAACATACCAATTCGGACGCAGTCAAGAGATACTATGTTTAAGATTATGTTTGCACTTTCTATTTGATGTAACTGAACTACGCTTGACCTGATTCCCATTTAAGAGGGGATACGTAGGCAGCCCTGTGGGTTCGGTCACATCACAATAAAATCTTCATTTTCCATATGGTCAGAAATTGGGGAAAGGTCTTGAGTTCACTCGATCTCATCACGTTTGGAACCGCCAAGGAATGTATTGCCGGAAGTATGCATTTAAACTGGGGCAGAACTTTGAGGAGGATCCTCAAAATTCCGAAGCAAGGAGGTTGCAATGTCTTAAAATGTATCACATTCATCAGTTCATCAAAATTATTTGATCTCGTGCATTATCACTACATTTCTACAAATAATTTGTCAATTGCATGCATGTTTTTCAAAAACATTTGTTTCTATAGCAGCCAGACGTCACCCAGAGTGACTCAAGAAGGGCCTCAAGACAAGAGTAAAGGCGAAGCAAGGAATCCTAGAGCACAAACCAACCTTTCCCCTACAAAGCTCACGATTTTTCTTTGGAAAAATGACACTGTATAGCCGCTGTAAAAATAATAGCCAAAACAATGTATAAAATGTGTATATTTTTTGTATATATATATATTTTGTATGTTATATACAAAAATTATACAAGTTTTATACACTTTTTCGGCTACAAATATAAATAGCTTCTGGCACGGGTTAAAAATGATGTTACCCCTTTTTCTTTGGATGCAGGCACAATGAACATAATAGGAACGTCCGCAAATATATACACACAACAGGATCACTATCTTCACAACAACAAGAATTGCCAAACACAAATGCATCAAGCTAAGAAATGATTTATCCTCTCACACTTGGTCATTGTTTTTTCTCTCATAGGGCTAAGCACTGCCCTCATCACTGCATAAGGCCAAGCATTGCCTTTCCTTGCATGAGGCTAAGCATTGCCTCCATTATTACATAAGTCTAAGCACTGCCTTTCTTTACATGAGTTTAAGCATTGTCTCCATACCTTGCATGAGGCTAAGCATTGCCTCCATTACTGCATAAGGCTAAGCACTGCCTTTATTTGCATGATACTAAGCATTGTCTCCATACCTTGCATGAGGCTAAGCATTGCCACCATTACTGCATGAGGCTAAGCATTGCCTCCATTATTACATAAGGCTAAGCACTGCCTTTCCTTGCATGAGACTAAGCACTATCTCCATTCTTTGCATGAGACTAAGCATTGTCTCCACTATTGCATACAGCTAAACATTGCCTTCTTTGCATGAGACTAAACATTGTCTCCATCCTTTGCATGAGACTAAAAATTGTCTCCATCCTTTACATGAGACTAAGCACTGTTTCCACATTGCATAAGGCTAAGCACTGCCTTTCTTTGCACGAAACTAAACACTGTCTCCTCTACACTGCATAAGAATAAGCATTGTCTCCCTTCTTCGCATAGGGCTAAACACTGCCCTCATCTCATACAAGACTAAGCCTTGTCTTGTCTCGTCCTCGCATATGACTAAGTATCAACTATTTTCTCCATCAAACGATCGATATCGCCACATCTTTACATTTCATGAGCTGAAATATCGCCATATTGTCCGAAGGCACCATCCTCATAGCCTGAAGACACCATTCCATGGTCTAGGGATCTCTCGAAACTGCACATCATTATTAAAAGGCGTTGTTACCCAACTTTGCCCTCATATTTTTTCAAATAGTATATATACTTTCAAAATATCATTTTGCATCATTACCTAATTTACAAGGGTTATATAAGTATTTTCTATAATTTTTAAAGCTTTAAAATTGATTTTTCTCGCATTTTAATTGTTCAAAATTTTTATTACTCCTTCAAATTATTTTGTGATGACTTAATCATCTAAATTTATTATTTATATCCACATATATATTTCATAATATTTTTACTTTGTTTCATGTAATTATATTTGCATTCTTTGAGCTATTTACATAATTTTGCAGTAATAGCCTATATTCTACGCATAATTACATTTATTACATTATTCATGTTAAAATAGTATTTTTATATTTTTATAATTTTATATTATTTTTAATCATTTTATTGCATAAGTAATATTTTTATTATTTATTAATATTTTTAATATAAATTATTTTAAATAATTTTGGTATATTTAATTCTTAGCCCAATATAGGGCTAATTTTCGGACCAAAACCTTGGCCCAATACCCCTTAACCCAATATCAGCAGCCCATTACCCTATACATATCTCCTGACCCGCCCCACTTCCACTTTAATCATGGTCGTTGATCTTAGATGATCAACGGCCCACAATGGCCCTTCCCCTTTCCTTATATCTTCCTCACCCAAACCCTAGAGACACTTCCGCCTAATAGCCGCCCCTAAATCATCTTGACTCTCTTCGTTTTTGAGAAACTCTAGTCGTCGTATCTTCGATTCTTCTCTAAATCCGACCCCACAATGGAATCAATCCATGATTCCCTTACCTTCTATGCAATATCTCGTTGTTTCTTACTGATCTCCTAAATCAAGTG